AAAGAATATCACCAACTTTTCCTTGTGGGTTACTCCATCCATTGCCAATTGGGTTTGGGTTGGAAACACACTTGGGGTTGGTTGTGTGTGCTTGGGCCCTGTCAATTTGCTCATTAATTTCCCTACAACAGTCAAGGGTACAAGTACACATGGTATCTTGATACTCAATCGCCCCTTTGCTCAACTTCATGCTTTCTCTTACTCTTATTGGGCTAGTAACTGTGATGACTGCACATCTACCTCTGCTCATGTTGTCTTCCTTGGCGCTACTCCAATTAGTTGGAGTTCTAAGAAGCAAAAATCAGTTGCTTAAGCTGAGTATCGTTCCCTTGCTTCAACCGCTTCTGAGTTAAACTGGATCACTAATCTGCTACAGGAACTTCACATTCACATCTCCGTGCTCCAACAATTTTTTGTGATAATATTGGTGCTACTTATTTGAGCAAAAATCCTGTTTTTCACTCCCGTATGAAACACATTGCCATTGATTTTCATTTCGTGCGTGATCAAGTTCTCAACAATCATCCTCGTGTGTCCCATGTACATACTAGTGACCAACTTGCAGATTCTCTCACTAAGGCTCTCAATCGGAAGTCCTTCCTCTTTCATCGTTCCAAACTTGGCATCCATGATGGAAGCTCAATCTTGCGGGGGCATGATAGACCAAAATCTTAGACTTTAGTATTGGTTTATTTTGTGGTAATATCTTCCTGTAATTTCTCCATCATTATTGTGTAAATCTTCTATAATTAGAGTCCCTTATTGCTCTCTCTCATAGAGCATGATTACAAGCCATATATTGCCAAAACTATTGTATAAATACCTCTCAATACATAATGAGAAATACAACAATTCTTCCACCATATTCTGAAAATCCTTACTTACGCCCCTGCATACAGTGTACAATTATCACCTCCTAAGTAAACGAGACAATTAGGGGAGATCAAGTGGTTCGGCATATTAGAAGAGTCCATGAACAGTATCTCGTGAACAGAGTAATCATAGGGATGCCATGTTTTATGAAGATAATGCTTGGAACCGAGAGAGAAAAGCCATGGTTACCATACTCAATCAAGAATTGAAGTCTCCATTTGCTAGAATATAAGATGTGAAATTGTACCACTATCATTTCAAAGATAAGCTAATGAAAGTAATGCATATGTTTCAAAGAAAATAAAAATGTACACCTGAATTTAGTTTGCTCAAGTCATGAAATGAAATGAAAAACAATATTCAAAAACTTACTTCGATGATGAGTAAAATGTTGTTTATTGGCATTAGAAATTGGACTTTCAACTTTAATTTCAATCTGGTTATGCAGGTTTTGTAGCTGCAGGACTTGTGCTTCATAAATATTAGTATCCAAGGGAGGGTACGAATCTTCACGAGACATCTCTGATTGTTCATTGCTTCCGAGCTCTGGTTCCGATTCGTAAGTTTTCATTTTTCTTCTTCTCTCATTTGCCCTCTGTCTTCTGTTTCTACGTGCCATTCAGCTGGTAAAGTAAACGATCGAGCAAAATATGTCAATTAAAGCACAACTAAATGAATGCTGAAATGTCTTCCATCAGTGAAATTAGCCTCACAAAAATGAAAAACTCGTGACTAGGCCTCATAACTTTTTAAAAGTATATATAAATCACACTTAAAACAATTAAATAGATATTAATTATAAAAAATAATTTAGAAAAAAGCAAATGTTTCATCTTTCCCAATCAAACTCAACCATCCAATCCACACTTGTGGTCAAACACTACCTCCACCAGTCACACCATCAATACTGTCGTATAATTAAAAAAAAAAAAAAAACGACCGGATTAAAAATCAGTAGTCTAGATCGTAGAACCACCACCGACAAACTCCCAACCAACCCTTCCTTATCCGCTGCAAAAACCAAATCAGCAGCCTAAATCCCAGAATTACCACCAGCTATTGCCAAAAAATAAATAGAAAAAGAACTTAAAAATAGCTATAAAAGTGAATTAAAAAAAATTAAGTCAGTTAGCTGGATCATCATCAAATGAGAGTCCCTTGACATGCGGAGGGAAAAAGATGCCTCTATTCAGAATTAATTATTAGTAACTTCTTCAGAATTTCGAGGGAGGAATAGAGTTGGGGACCATATAATTAAATTAAAGTTTTGAAGTTGACTAGATAATAGAATAAACATTTAAGTTACTAATTATATTAGATGAACATATGTATAATTTTATTTGCAGATTGTAGCCTCACCAGGTGATGCAACCATTAAAATAGTGTCATTAATTTTTATTTCTGTCTTGTCATGTTATGAGTTACGTTTTCATATGAGCCATTCCTTTATTAAACCAATTACACTATATAATTTTATCTTTAATTTGTTATCATATTATTTTGTAAACAAGTTGTTTCGGTCATCTTCACATACATTGATAGGTTCATCTCATCCCATCAAGACTCCAAACCACCCATCTTCCATTTATTCGTGTGTGTTTGCATTGTTTATGTTTTAACATTTGACTTAGTCATCATGTTTGTGTCTACATTGGACATGTTTTAATGTTTGACTTAGTCATGTTTGTGACTATATTGAACATGTTTTAATGTTTGATCCACCTAGTCTTTATTTCACATGTTTTAGAATAGTTAAATTATTTTAAGGGTAAAATAGTGAAGTAGTTTACCCAACAACCCCAATGTAGTGCATTGTATTTTATTATGTGTTTTCCCTTGCCTGAATATATTAGATATTAGAGATGGAAAAAAATTCCGTTCAACACAGTACTCATGGGTCCCACCCCGAATGGGACGGGAATTACTCGCCTAATCGGGTAAACGGGAAGGGGGACATTGCCCCAAAGCGGGTATGGAAAAAATAGTCTTGCCTCTTTACTCACCCTATTAAAAGATTTATCATCATTTTTAAAGAGAACATAAGTTGTTTTTAACAAATTGGAACAAAAGTAATAATATTTATTAACTAAAGATATAAAAAAAATAAAAGCAAAAAATAAAAAAAAATAAAAAAGAAAAAAAAATAAATGGGACGATAAATGGGGTAAGGCCCCGCCCACCCCGCCACACCTCACCTGGACCGGCTTTCGAGTAGACAATACTTAGAGGAACAATTGAGTAAAATATATGGATTGTCTTCAGGAAGAAGGGATAATGTGGCTGTTAGAATGGCATTATTTATATCAAGCTAAAGACATACAAAGCACTCGTTAATAACTTATCATTATTCGAATAATTGTTACACATTTCCAGCACAATCTGTCCATTGAAATAAGAAAGAGAATTCTTTCACTTGTTTTGAACTAGAATGCACAACATGCTTTTTTCTTAAAAGAAGAAAACTAGTATCGTAGCTCCTTTTATTAGTAAAGCCTATGCTTTCTTGGTTGAAACATGACCATAGCCGGCCAGCAAGTTGAGTGGATTAAGGCAATCCATAATCTATAATTTAGCACTGCATATATAGTGATTGGAAGCCAAGCAAGAGTAGCAAGAAGTCTTGGCAACGGCCCCTGCTTTTCCTCGTTGTACACCAAAAAGAAGGTTGCACTAAATGTTAAGACCACGCAAACAATTGAAGCAAAGAGTGAAACTAGCCCAACCATCAACTTTGCTGGTAAAGAAAATAAAAAATCATCTTCTGTATAGCGTGAAGTTAAGATAGACAAGAACATCATTATGGACGTTGTCGAGCTGAACATTGCCACTGCATCAGATATAACAAAAACTGTGAACCACCTGTTCTTCAAGAAAACTGGAGTGCCTGTTCCATTATTGCCACCTGGTACGGTAAATGCTGCAGCAAACGCGACTGTAGCGATTAAAGTTGCTACAACCATGCAAGAACTTGCTGTCTCCTTCATCCACTCCTCACCATCCTCCCTTAAATTCTTGTGCTCCTCTGAAAATAACTCCCTTGGTGTTTTGTGGTCATCGTTTTTCATATCAAATAATGAATGTGATACAATCTTCTCCACCTCCTGAAAAGCTTACTCAAATTATTGCATATTGCAAAATCCTCCAAAATCTAACTCTCACATGGTGAATAAGTATTACTTAGAATAATCAATTAGAGATTTCAAGTAACATGGTCCATATATATATTCAAAGATAAATAAGAAATTATTCAATTTCACTACCATGTTAATTTCTCACCTTAAACCATAGTAGCTCTCTCTGCATTTGAAGAGCTGCTCCAGATACAATATTGAGTCTACTTGGAGGTGCTAATTTCCCGGCCAAGTGTAAAATGTTGTTTCCTTTTTTATCTTTATAGAGTGTAATTAAATCCTTAATAGCTCCTATCTGGTAGATCAGACTGAACACTTTCTCTTGTCGGTTTATAACAGCAACATGAAATATGGAGTATTTATTTAAGTTGACTTTCCATATAAGATCAGGATATGAGTGAGTAAGCAGAGTTAGAAACTCAACATTCCCTATTTTTGCAGCATCATGAAATACCTGAGTCTCTTGAATTAGTTTTAAAACATTGGAGTCCGGTAATACCATAATCTGTTCCCATAGCCTCTTTACCAACTCACTGGCTTGTCTCCGCATTTGAAGTGAACTATATATCCTTTTGAAATCTGAACATCTTTGCAAAATTAACATGTGGACTAAAAAACCAAAAAAATTGAAAGACTAGGAGTAAACTGGCATTTGCTAGACAGTTATGAAGTTCATCCTAGTTTAGATCGAATAGACATGGAATATAAGGGACAGTTATGTGGGATATTATAACCCTTATTTAATTATCAATATAGAGAAAAAAAAATATGTAAAGATTAAGGGTACAATTGAAAAAGCTTCAACACATACTCTGATAAATTCAGTTCATAACTATTTTTATCATTGATTCAGTTCTTACTACTTAAAATTCATTGTTGGAATGGTTAATGCATGTACTGGGCAATTAGTATTTTAACTGTTTATATAGTTTTTTTGTTCTTCCCATCATCAACTTCACGTAAGATATCCATGAGGCTATAATCTGAGGATCAATTTTATCTAGAAATCTTCTGAATGCAAGAGTTGAATTACAGTACTTCATCAAGTATATACGAATGGTCGACTAAATTGTGGAAAAACGCGAGAAAGACTCCTGATACTTACATGGAATATAAGGGACAGTAAAAATGGTGCTAACAAGAGTTTCCCATATCCGTTCTTGAATTCTGTGATTGTGTGACAAAGGTTTTCGAGCTAAAATTTTTAAAGCCCTTCCTTTGTTCGTTGTTGGAGAAGTAACTGATCTTGCATCCGCTGCATTTAATATCTTCAAAGCAATATCTGCTCAAAGAAAAGCAAGACCTATTTCCTCATTTAAATAAGTAGAAGAAGCATATTTTTGTGTGGGTATTTAGACCTAATTTGTCACTTAATCAAAAAGATTTCATACCAAACATGTCAGTGTGGATAGTTGCTACAAGAATCTCCATATATTCCTCGGCATTAAGATCTTCAAGAGTTGTAATTGGGTAAAGGTACTCAACCATTTTTCTGTTTCCGAGCAAAATTGCCATTTCAAGTGGGGTCTTTCCTATGCTACTTCGAATTGTTGGCAATTTCTTATTTTGTTCGTACATGACCTTGGCAATTTCTACAACCCCTGATACAGCTGCAAAACAGAAAGCTGTATTTCCATGTGTATTCCGCAGTTCCAGGTCACTTGCATTCAAGTGTTCAACTAGATTTTGGACAAACGCTGTTTGCTTGGCGGCAGCAGCTATGTGAAGAGCCCTATCTCCTCTTTCTGTTATCTCAGTACGAGCTATATTTTTGTCCAAACTCAGAGCAGTTTTAGCAGACTTCCAATCACCTCTTAGAGCAGCTAGATATAAATATGGTCCAAGGCTCAGAGTGTTTACTTTTCCTTTTCCTGATGATGTTTCGGGAGACGATCGTTGGATGCGTTAATAATGCATAAAGCTCCACAACTTCACAATAAATACTACGTAATACAATAAAACTGGTCAAAATGGAGATATACCAGGCAGCGTACATAAAGGTATAAAATCATCCCATCTTAATGGACTATACACTAAGGGAGATCAAGTAGTTCAGCAACATATAAGAGCCAATGAAGCTCAAACAAGAAATTTGGGGTCCAAGATTGATGGGCATAATAAGGATCCCACATTTGCTTAATATGAAAATAATATGTAGCATACATGGGCTTATCCTACTCTCTAAACAAAGTTCAACCTTTTAAGATGAAATGCAAAAACTCAATAGCATATATACACGTATTGGGAAAAAAAATATTTATAATATAGATGAAAAGATTATCACATCAACAAAGTTATTATGAGTAGGGATGTCATATTTTATGAAGATAATGCTTGGAACTGAGAGGGAAAAGCCATGGTTACTATACTCAATCAAGAAATGGAGTCTCCATTTTCTAGAATATAAGATGTGAAATGAAAGAAAAGCTAATGAAAGAAGTCTATTTGTTTCTTAAAAAAAATACAAATATACACAATAATTAGTTTGCTCAGGTCATGAAGAGACAAAAATCAAAAACTTACTTCGATGAACAATAAGATGTTGTGCATTGTCATTGGCATTGGAAATTGGACTTTCAACTTTAATTTCAAACTGGCTACGCACGTTTTGCGGCTGCGGAACTTGTGCTTCAACCATAAGTGTATTTCTTTGATAAATATGAGTATTCAAGGGAGGGTATGAATCTTCACGTGACAATTGATCATCGCTTCCGAGTTCTGGTTCTGATTCATAAGTTTTCATTTTTCTTCTCCTCTCATCTGCCCTCTGTCTTCTGTTTCTACGCCCCATTCAGCTGGTAAGACAAACGATGGAGCAAAACATGTCAATTAAAACACCACCAAATGAACGCTAAAATCTCTTTCATCATTGAAGAAACAGATTCTCAAGAGTAACATGTTGCTTTTCAAAATCTAGACTAATACAAACTCCTGCATGACTTTTAAAAAATATGACCTATACACAACCTCTCATGTCCCATATTGGAATCGTACAAAAAGTAAAGCAATTCCAGGGATTTAGTTTATTTCTTTCTCTCGTCGATAAATAAAAAAAAATGATGGGATTTAAATAAAACAATACAATCAAGTTCACAAGTAGAGATGCACACACAATAGTCAAGACATTTTTTGTCTCTCTCTCAAAATACAAATCTTTGTGAATTAATTTTTTGTTTTTGTTAGAGAACTCATAGTTAGCTATTAACTAAAAAAGTTGTCGAGTTAGAATGTAATCAAGAACGTTGTACATACTAGAGTGGTTGATGATATAAAGAATGATTATGATAACATTTCATAGAAAATTGTACTTTCAATTAACTACTGATCATAAGAAAAATAAATAAATGAATAATATTGTAGTTGAATTACCTCAAAAGCTCTCCTGTACGTATTTCACTAAATATAAAATGGGACTAATTTCTGATTGTAAAGTGTAGAGGCTCTAGCCTAATGAATATTTTTTCTTTGTATGAAGTTAAAAGTGATGGTTCAAATACAATACAGATATGAATCAACTCTTAAACATATATATAATAACGTAAGTGTTTGAGGATTAGCGGTTGTTAAGAATCATATTATATTATATTAATATGTCACAGAATATTTTTAGTTGACTATATATAAACGATTTTTCTTATTT